ATAAATTGTGTAAAGTACTATGATTTTCTCTTTCACTTTATTTCGTGTAATATAGATCTACAAATTACTTTAAATGTGTGAACTAGTGGTATTGTAAGTGGATTTATATTAAGTGTTTGCATACATTTATATAGAGGTGAAGTGTTGAAACTATTTAAGTGTCTTAGGATGTAGACCTTTTAGGGGCCATAAAAAATTTAAGTATCATTTCTGGGAACATTTTATGGTTATGCGTATTTACCCATGGACTTGTTAGCCTGCCTTTCATCTCCAGTGTAGTCTGTTTATTTTTATTGCAGTCGTAAATGTGTTATTATTTTCTGACTCTCTTTTCCTTATAATTTTCTACAACATAAAAGAGCAATTCATTTAAATAGTTATATTTGGTCACCTTACTAAATTCTTAATATTACAGTATCTTTGTCTCCACTCGACATTTTGGTATGCAAATTGTCAAACATACAGAATACTGAAAGAATTTGATAGTAACCACCTATATTCTGACCACCTAGATTTTACTACTAATATTACTAGGCTTAACTGTACCAGTTCTCTGCCCCTCTATCCATCCTTCTGTTCATGATGTTGGTGCATTTCAGTGTAAGTTGCAGACCTCTGCCGTCACTCTAAATACTTATGGAATCACATGGCTAATTAGAGTTCTACCAATAGCCTTTTGTTTCCTTTGTTTGCCTAATGAACAGAGCTCTCATTTACAAAAAACCTTGGCAGGATGTGAAGTGGGTTGAAAATGCATTTCAGAATAAGATGAATCTGGTTTTTCAATTGAAATTCTGCCTCCTGGTCATTGTGCAGTTTGCGTGACCTGTGTCTGTTTCCTTCTTAACAAAAAGAGCAGTGAAATCTCTCCCTCAGATTAATTTGGAAGATTCAGTGAAGTAAAATACCTTAAGTAATGAACTGTGATGGCAGGAACATGACATAGTTGAGTAAAAAAAAGCTACTCATTTCCTCATATATGTGGATTTGTATTTTGTGAAATTTGTATTTATAACTCATTTTCTCCCTGCTTTCCTCCTTGTTCCCCCCTCTTTTTTTTAAGTAATGAAAACTTTGAAAGCCATGAACTTACATTAATAACCAAGCAACAGCAATTTTACTGAAAACGTAGAATGCTGACATTCCCTGATTTAAAAACATCTGTGCTCTTATGAAAAATATAGTGAAGAAAGTATAGATGAGCAGTCAAATGTCACTTTTTTTGCCAATGTTTCCCTTTCAGAAATTCTTAGGAATGGGTTTTTAGGTTACCAGTGATAGTTTTATTGGCTTTTTTCAATTAAATGTTTAATTATTCCCATGAAATGTTCTGTTCTTTAACACTGACATGTGCCCTGTAAGTGCTTTAGAATTGTATAGCATTTTTCTATTTAAATTTTGTAACCAGCCACCATAGATAAAAAGAGATATACAGACATATGAGGCAAATACAGATAATTTGCCTCTTCTTACATGTAAAAGTCATCTTTGATTATATTTTCCAACTGTGCTGCCTTGGGTAATGTTTCCAAACCCAGATTTTCTCAACCCTGCTGTGGTCGGGTGCAAACAGCCTAACTGAGCCAGTAGTCAGCAAATGGGTCTGGCTGTATTCCCATAAAACTTTATTTATAAAAACAAGTGATCCAGGCCCTGGATACTCTGTTACTGATTTTTTTTTTAATTGATGTGTTGTTGATTCACAATGTTAGTTTCAGGTGTACAGCAAACCAATTCAGTGTATGTGTGTGTATATACACACACATTTCAGATCTCTTTCCATTATAGCTTATTAAAAGAAATTGAATATAGTTCCCTATGCTGTACAGTAGTAATGTTTCAGTCATATGTATGCATACATATATTCCTTTTCATATTCTTTTTCATTATAGGTCACTAGAAGTTGTGGAATATAGTTTTCTGTGCTGTACAGTAGAAACCTGTCATTTATCCCACACATAATCGTTAGCATCTGCAGATCTCCAGCTCCTGCATTTTGGAGGTCTCCCGGTTTGCAGCCATTTCCCAAAGTTGGAAGAAAATGATCCAAGCCCAGGTGACTCTTGATTTCTTTTTCTATTTACTTATGTATATATTTATTTATTTAACTGAAGTATAGTTGATTGACAGTGTTGTGTCTTGGTTTCTTTTATTCTTTTATTCTCCAACGGCTTTGCCTCTAAAAAAATACATGCCATTAAGTCGAAAAGTTTCAGTTGATCCAAGCAGGATCTGGAGAAATCTGGGCAAAGTAGGATCAGGACTATATTATTCATGGGATTCATCCTACTCATGTGACTCATGTAACTCATGTGTTGGGATATCATGTGTGTGCAGGACCCTGTGGGTTACACTAGCTGTCAATTCACATCTGACATATGGTTGTGATAAGTTACAGGTAGGCATGACTGTGATCTGTGTCTACGCCCAGCACTTCTGACACCAGATGTGTGTGTCTTTCCATGCCCACAGCCAGTTCTTCACCTCTCTGGTGACCAGCTGAGTATCTGTAGTTTAATTCAGTTCTGACGGTAGCTACATGGAGTTACATCAGTCCCGCAGGACAGCCCTCTCTTTCAATGCCAAGGGTTGGGTGCCTAGGGTACCCGTACTTCTGACTTGGCTGCAGATTAAGGGTTGCCCAAATCTCTTCCTCGGGTTTGATACTTTACTACCACAGCTCACATAACTCAGGAAAACACTTGGCTTACTATACGGGTTTATTATAAAGGATACAACTTGGGACCAGTCACATAGAAGCGAGCGATACTTACGGCAAGGTATGAGGGAAGGGACAAGGACCTTCCATGTTCTCCCCAGGAGGGTCACCCTCCCAGCACCTCGATGCGTTCACCAGCCTGGAAGCTCTCTGAGCCCTGTAGTTTAGGGTTTTCTATGGGGGTCTTGTTGGGTGGGTGTGGTTGATTAACTCAACGGCCATTGATTGGTTTGGTCTCATCCCTTGCAGTGCTGGGGAGGGGCTGAAAGTTCAACCCTCTAATCACGAAATGGGTTCCCCTGGCAACCAGCCCCCATCCTGAAGCTCTCTGGGGGCCCACCAAGACTCACCGTGCCAGCATAAACTCAGGTGTGGCTGAAACGGACTTGTTATGAGTAACACAGGACACCCCCTTACCTCTGTCACTTAGGAAATTCCAAAGGTTTTAGGAGCTCTTGTGTTAGAAGCTGGGGCTGAAGACCCAATATATGTTTCTTATCATGTCACATCTCATAGGCATCAGCTGGGAGGGTAAGGCTGACCAGCTCGTGGGATGTTAATGTTTCATGGCACCTGGGTCTGAAGTTCACAAAGGTTTTTGATGGTTCTCCGTAGAGGTGATGTGGGTGGTGTCATTAACTGCAGTCCTTAACTGTCCTTACTTCTCATAAATGATTCCTGTTTCCTACAGCTGCTTCTTCATTTTATTTAATGTGTTAATCCTGCCTAATGATACACATAACGTACATACGCATTTGTCTGTGTCCATATACATGGTCCTTAAAGAACAGTCGCTTTACAGATTGGGTCATCTGATAATCTTTTGTGCTTTATGTATATCTTGTACAGCTTCTCTTACTTCGTTTAGTCTGTTTACCACTGAACTCAATAGGTACTGTCTTGTGATTCTAGCATCTGGAGTCTCTTCCTTACCGGCTTTAGTGTTGGCTCAGCTGCTAACGGTGCATTTAGGAATCTGTATTATTCCTTTACTTGTAAGTAGCATATAGTTTGGTATTAGTGAATAGATGCTTGTGAGATAATGGGAAATATATATTAGCCTCTGCCTTCTGTTGCTGGCACAGAGCTCCTGAAATCCTTGTAATTTCCTGAGTGGTAGGAGCACCAGGAGCACCTCTTGTTCTAGTATTTATGTGGTCTTTCTCCTTCATCCTGACACAGAGCTCCTGAAACTCTTGGAATTTCCTCGGAACAGGCATGTCTTTTGTTCCAATGAGGTGACTCAGTGGGCTCCTGGATGAGGACTGGCCCCCAGAAAGACCAAGCCATGATGAGAAGCTTGGAATTTTTAGCCTCATCCCTTAGTCTCTTGAGAAGGGCTGAAAATGGAATTAACAATCAGTCATGCCTACGTGGTGCAGCCTCCATAAAATCCCCAAAGTTTAGGGCTCAGACAGCTTCCGGGTAGTGAACTTGTGGAGGTGCCTGGAGAGGGCGTGGAAGCTCCGCTCCCCTCCCCGCATACCTTGCCCGTCACGTCTCTCCCATCTGGATGTTCATCTGTATCCTTTATCATAGTCGTTAATAAGTTGGTAAGCGCAAGTGTTTCCCTGAGTTCTGTGGATGGAGTAGGGGTTGTTGAAACCTACGATCTGTAGCCGATTGCTCAGAACCACAGGTGACAACCTGGACTTGTGATTGGTGTCTGGAGTGGGGGCAGGACAGTCTTTAAATTTTTAAAAAAATTGTTTGGGAGGGGAGGTAATCAGGTTTATTTATTTATTTTAAAATATTTATTTATTTGTATTGTCCTTTTTGGAGGGAGCAATTAGGTTTATTTTTATTTATTTATTTTTAATGGAGGTACTGGGGATTGAACCCAGGACCTCGTGCATGATAAGCACACGCTCTACCGCTGAGCTATACCCTCCTCTCCCAGGGGGTGGGACAGTCTTATGGGACCGAGCCCTTAACCTGTGGGAATTCAGCTAAATTACAGGACACCCAGCTGGTGTGGCAGAGAATTGCTCATTGTGGGGAAAGAGCTCCATGCATTTGGTGACCAGAGTGTCAGAAGTGAAGTGTTCTGTGTGGGCAGTAAGGGAGACTCACAGGGAAGAGGCACACAGTAGGGAAGAAATGGGTTTTTCAATACATGGGAAGGACACTGAACACGGTTTTTCCTTTACAAGGCTCACATATAGAGAGATTGCAGGTGTTTGTTCTTGTATTAGCTGGAGGATTTCATGAAAGCCCTTAGAATTTTCATCCTTTTGTTGAGTGAGTAGAAGACCACCCTGTAACATAATATTTTACCAGGGTTCCGATTCTGTCGTGGCCTATTGAGGAAAAAGACCCATTAGATTGCTATATGGTAAAAGTGAGCAGGATAATTTCCTTCACATTTTTTTCCATATCACCCAAAGTACACCACTTCGCTCACCATGACTGTGTTATGACAGGAATCCCTGACATATGACGATGTGGCTATGAAGTTCACGTGGGAGGAGTGGCAGCTCCTGGCCCCGGATCAGAAGGTCCTGTACCGGGACGTGATGCTGGAGAACTACAGCCACCTGGTGTCTGTGGGTGAGGACCGCTCCCTGGGTCACTCGGAGGGTGCCTGTCAGTGGCCCTTCCATTCTCAGCTGCTTCACTTGAGACTAAACTGCATTACTCTGAAATGGTAGATTCCCAGATCTTTCTCTGGCCCCAGATAAGAGGGTATAAATCCCCTCTCCTGAGAGGGGAGCCTTGGTGGTACCGATGTGAAACCTGTTTCTTCCCTCCAACGTAAAACTCTCCCTTCCTGACACAGCCCAGCCCAGTTCGATGTGGCTTATGACTTCTGTCGCTTTTCACAAACAGGGTATCAAGCCAGCAAACCAGACACGCTCTCCAGGTTGGAACGAGGGGAAGAGTTGTGGACCATAGAAGCTGAAATCCACCGTCGAGTCCATGCAGGTAGGTGGGTGAGAAGTTGTGCTCTGGTCAGCAGAGAAGGCGTCAGAGCCGTGACAGTCTCTGAGGAAACACGAACAACACCACCACGTACCTCTCTTCCCAGGTGAGAGCTCTTTTTCTTTGTAGAAGTCTAGAGGACCATATATTCCTTTGTTCTCTTCTGAGATCTGATCCTGTTTATTTTATTTTACTTATTTTGGTGGGGGAGGCAGGAGATAATTAAGTTTATTCATATATTTTTTAATGGAGGTACAGGGGATTGAACTCAGGACCTTGTGCGTGCAAAGCATGCGCTCTGCCACTGAGCTATCCCCTCCCCCTCTGATCCTGTTTATTTTATGTGCATCTTGTCTTTGCTCGTTTGCGTAGTTATCGTCTTCCCAGGATTTTCACATCTTCCTCGTCTTTGTCCACCGTCACAGGGTCTCTGCTTGTGTCACCACCTCTCTTGCTATGAAATTCCTCTTTCCCGGCTTCTCTGGAAAGAGAGAACTTTGAGTTCATCACTCTTTTCTTACTGCTGTACCTTAGCTCTGACCTGTTAGGACGTAATGGATTCGTCCGTAACATCCAGCCCCGCCCCGCCGTGGGTGCTGTGTGCCCGGACAATCTGGTTTTCGCTGTGCATTTATGTGGTTCTTTGGTCCCCACCCCCTTCCCAGGTTCTCCATGCCTTCATTCCCATTTTCTTCTCAGTTCTCGTAACTCTTAAGTTTCTTCCCTTCCCATGGATTAAGCTCTTTCTGTTCTCTGAAAGAGACTCCCCAGCTGACTTCTGCCTTGATACTGCCTAATGTATGATTTCTTTCTAAGTATTTCACTCTTGTTCACAGCAGCTGGCCCATGACCTCCCATTTTGTGTGTGAGAAAGGAATCTTCTTCCCTCCATTCTTTTTAAAATTTAGGTTCTCTTTCAGTACCACACGTTTCAAATTCTGTCACCCTGCCGTTCCCTTGACTGTATCTTACGTGCCGAGCTCTCCTCTAAAACGTCTCTACGGTTGCATTTGATTAACTAGGACAATTAAAGCAGCTAATGGAGTAGTGCGTGTTGGGGCTTGGAACTGCGCTTTTCGGAGTGGGAATGGCTCTCTGATAAGGTGCTTTTGAGCACATGATGAGGGATGTGAGTAAGCTTTTCTGGGGTGACGAGTTGTTCAAATGTGAGACTGTGGGAAGTTGAAAGACCTGAATCCGGAATGTGTTTGAGGAGCTTCTGAGGAGCTTCTGTGGGTAGAAGGGAGTGAGCAAGAAGGAAGATGCCTGGAGTTAAGGGGAGCAGGGAAGGAGCTGGAGGTTTTGGTGTGTAGGTCACATACTGCCTGTCCAGGGCTTGCAAGGGCTTGAGTCTATTCTGATTAAGTTGAGAAGACAGGAGTTTTGAGTAGAGGATGTGCATTAATTTTTAAAAATTAATTTTTAATTATTTGGTTTTAAAAATTGAAGTATAGTTCTTTTAGAATGTTGTGTGTGGCAAAGTGATTCAGTTGTACATATACATATATATTCTTTTTCAGATTCTTTTCCATTATAGATTATTACAAGATACTGAATATAGTTCTCTGCGCTACACAGTAGGTCCTTGTTGTTTATCTGTTTTACGTACAGTAGTGTGTATCTACAAATCCAGAGTTCCTGATTTATCCCTCCTCACCCCTTTTCTCCCTTGGTAACCATAAGTTTGTTTTGTTTGTGAGTCTGTTTCTGTTTTGTAAATAAGTTCATTTGTGTCCTTTTTTTAGATTCCACATATAAGTGACATCCTATTGTATTTTTCTTTCTGTATCTAACTTACTTCACTTAATAGGATGATCTCCAGGTCCATCCATGTTGCTGCAGACAGCATTATCTTATTCTTTCTTATGGCTGAGTAATATTCCATTGTGCGTATATACCACAGCTTCTTTATCCAAGAGAAGACCTTTTTTTTTTAAAGATTTATATATTAAACCAGTTTCTTCATGTTTGTACTCAGATATGTCATAATCATCTTAAACTTTGTTTCACGATGCACACTAGATTTTTCCTCTCACTCTGGACCTCAGTAATATTCCTCATTTATTCAGAGGCATTCCACCTACCCAGTGGCTGAAACCACATAATTCTTGGCGTAATCCTTGAGTCCTTTCATTAACCTCTTACCTGCTTCTCCCATTGAGCCCATCAGTGACCCCTGTCTTTTCTTTAACTATATCCTGATTTCCTCCACCTCTTGCACATCCACTGCTCCTTTAACCACGGTTCACACACTTCAGCTGCCTTCTTTTTCCATTGCTTCACTTGTCCCTACTGAGAATTAAACCTGGTGTCCTGTAGATTTAATGCATTTCTGACACTACCTGGAAATAGTGTCAGATCCTACAAGTTAATAAGAATTCAGTCCCACAAGATTATCCACAGGTCAGATGTCAATTGCAAGTCCAGATTGTTATCTCTGCTTCTGACCAACTGGCTATCAATCAGTGGATCCCATGACCCCCTTTTTGTTTTCAGTTAATTTGTGAGCGTGGCTCACAGAACTTGGAGAAACATTTACTTATGTTTGCCAGTTTATTATAAAGGCTATGATAAAAGATACAGGTGAACAGCCAGATGAAGATGTACACAGGCCAAAGTGTGAAGGATTCCTGAATGCAGGAGCTTCTGTCCCCGTGGTCCTGGGGTGCACCACCCTCCTGGTACATGGATGTGTTCACCAATCCAAAAGTTGATCAGCATTGTTGCTTAAGAGTTTTTGTAGAGTTTTTGCTTAATTGAGGTATAATTAATTTATAATGTTAACGCTAGTTTCTGGTGTACAGCGTAGTGATTCAGTCATAAATATATATATATATGTCCTTTTCATATTCTCTTTCATTATAGGTCATTACCAGGTATTGAATATAGTTCCCTGGGCTTCATCGGAGGGCCTTGTTATATTATAGAGCTTGAATCTCTAGCTCCCTTTTCTCCCAGAGGTCAATGGATGGGGCTGAAAATTCCAACCTTCTAATCACTGAGTCTCCCTGGTGACCAACCCCATCCTGAAGTTACGTAGGAATCCTGTGTTGAGTCACCCCATTAGCATAAGCTCAGGTGTGATTGAAAGGGCTTTTTGTGACTAACCAGATACTGCTCTCACTTAGGAAATTATAAGGGTTTTAGGGGCGCTGTGCCCAGAACCATGGAGGAAGACCAAGAGTTTTCTTCTTACAGCACACATAGGATTGTCACTAAATAGTACTTCACATGAAGGCATTTTTGGGAACAGTTTTTTTCCCCTCATACTGAGATTATGCGAGATCATGGAATGATTCATTGTTCTCTTCTTTCCCAGAAATCAGGAATGTGGATGACTCTCCACAGCCTCACTTGCAAAATCAAAGCACTCAAAAGAGTGGGGAACTTGGCTGTGAACTTAAGACGCCTGCAGCTGTCGTTGATCAGAGCAAAAGTCATTTACTGCTAAAGCAAAATCATGGTGTGTTTGACCTCAGGGAAACACTTTTAAAATCAGATTCAAATTTTGAAAACCAGAACAGAAGCTGTCAATTAAAGAGCTCTGCTGAGTTTCATGGAGACAGGAAATGCCTTCTCCATGCTAACCATGAGCAGTCTTGTCCTGAAACTAAATTGTCCGTAAGTGCCAAACCCACTG